TTTTCTATTTTCTGAGCTTTCATGAGTATATGGATACCAACACATCATCCCTAGAGAGTCAAATTTCCGACTTGACTTCTCTAATAAAGGAGTTTATTTTATGTTCTCAAGATGTCCATACATGCAACATTTGCATGTCACACTGGCATCTTACGGATTTTTGCCCAGAGCTTCAAAAAGAATACTTTGAACAAAGGAATGATGTTGGTTTCCAAGAGAGGTATGATTCATTCTCCAACACATATAACCCATACTCAAGTTCTTATTCCAGCATGTCCACTGAAGACATGATCCGAACTCTCACTATCAATGTGACAAATATGCAACAAAATATGTCACAATGCCTGCAAGAAACAGTGTCCAACGAACAGAACTTGGACAATCAGTTGAAACAAATGCCAAACATTGTGAACCACATGGGCGAGAAGGAGGAAGAAGAGGAGCTTACGGAGAAAGCTCAACCGGAGGAGGAACCTCAAAACTCAACTCAACCACCGGTCATTCCTGATATCATGGCACTATTTCCTGAGGCTCTAAGGAAAACACAAAGGGTGGAGAAGGACAAAGATATCTATGAAATCTTCAGCAATTGTGAGTATAATTTAGACTTCTCTTTGTTCACAAATAAGCAAGGAATAATGGTGGAGTTACACAAATATCTCATACTCCCTCTTATACCACCCAGATCAAAACCCTTTCCATTGACCATGCATAGTGAAAATCATGGACCCTCACTTTCACTCCATGAAGCGATAGAAATCCGAATATTTGATCTTGGAAAGACTTTCAAAATAAAGGGTCAAAAAATTGAGTCTTTCTATAAGAGTCATCCGGGTGAAAATTTGAACAAGATGAGTTATCACGATCCAAGCTTGAACGATTGAACACAATGATGGCGTCGTGCCGCGACGTTAACTAAGACGCTTCTTGGGAGGCAACTCATGCTAAGGTACGCTTTTTTCATCTTTTCTTTTCAATTTTTGTTTTTGAATGTCAACTTCGAGAAAATTGGGACACTTCTCAAATAAAAGGGGGAGGAAATCATTTTTTGAAAGGTTGGGGAAACCTCCGATCGGTCATCATCACTTACCCGATCGGATCCATGCCAAAAAGATAAAAAAATGGACAAAATCATGCCCCAGGGTAGTGTACCCGATCGGGCCCCACTACTCCACCTGATCGGGTACATATGAAAAAGGCAGGGCTGGGAGAAATACCCCAAACCCGATCGAGGCGGAACAAAAAAATCAAGTGAGTACCCGATCGGGTACACCTATAACCCGATCGAGTATAAATCCCTAGAGCAACTTTTTTTCAAAAAAATCTTCCTACCCGATCGGCTGGGGCATATACCCGGTCGGGTATATTAAAATGATTTTTGTTCAAATCCCACGGCGCACTTTGCCCGATCGAGTACTACCCAAACTCGATCGGGCCCGATCCCGGAACAAGAGGAAACAGGAGAGCACCCGATCGGGTATGTCGGGCCACCCGATCGGGTACTCGAAGCTTTTTACTCCAAATCAACCCCAAATCAATCACTTCATCTTCCCCAACACTCAAGTACTCGAATCTCTCACCCCAAACCCACCATTTTCGAACCTTCAAGCTTCCATATCTCCATCATCACTCAACCAAATTTCCTCAAACCACCACCAAACACTTCTGTCACTCTCCTCTCCACATCGTACCCACCAATTACACCATCTCTCCCCCTCCCCAAAAATCCGAAACCCTACCCCAAAAACACCAAGTCCGAATTTCAAAGCGTCAAAAGGGCATCAATGGCACCGAAGAGGGATAAGGCCGAAAGTTCAAATGCAAGGGGACAATTCAAGACTACGAGGATGTTTGTTTCTACCCGGGTATGACAAAGATGAGCACTAGGGACAGTGCTTCAAGTTAAGTGAGGGGGAGTCACTCATTGGTACGTATTTATGTTTCATACCTTGTAAACTGGCATTATTTTCTTCGCAAAAAAAAAAAACAATGCTAGTTAGGTTGAAAACCCAAAAATGGGCAATCTAAGCAAAAATGGCTTAAAAAAAATGAGTGAGTGGAAAGGATGGAAAATAAAAAGAGATGCTAGGATGAAAACCTGAAAAGGCTCCTAGGCAAAATGAGAGATATGAGAGAGATATTTGTTTTTACATACAGGACATCATTTAATCTCTTGAACATGAAAAGAGGAGAAGAAAAGAGATGAGCATAGAAGGCCATGAAACCCAAGAAGATATTGTTCGTTGAGCTAAACATTCAATGTAAAACTCATGTTTTATCCTTGGTGGTCTTTTGCTTTTTCTTGTTGATTGTTGAACTCTTGAGGACTTGGAACTGTTAAACATTTGACTTTACTCGAGGACGAGTAAAGAAGCTAAGTGTGGGGGAGTTGATATTCATGTAATTTCCGATTGTATGTTTGTATTTTTAACTAGTTTTTATTTGTTCTAGTTGTGGAAATTACACTTTTTGGTGTAATACCTTATTTTCATTTTTATTTGTAATTTAGTTAGATTAGGATTTTTCTGAGCTAAACAGGTCAAAGATCATCCAAGGGATCAAGATTAGACCTTAAGAGATCAAGGAAAATGCAAGGAGGCAAGAAAGATTTCGATTTGGAAAAAATACTCATGTACCCGGTCGGGTATTGCCTATACCCGATCGGGTAATTGCTTGATTCGACTGTCCAAATCAAATCCGAAGACAAATGATCGTGGGAGCAAATTTTCATAAAGATTTGTCACATACCCGATCGGGTATATACCCTTACCCGATCGGGTATGCCCAGAAAAGTGACTTTCTGGGCAATTTCCTAAGATACCCGGTCGGGTATCCTATATACCCGGTCGGGTATCAGACCCTGCAGCTCCCAAAAGCCTATAAATACACCCCTTTCCTTCCCAATAAAATCACCAATTCACATATACTCTTTAGCTCAGTTTAGATTAGTGTTTTCTTTATATTTTCTATCATGTTTAGTCTCCAAATGAGGAGCTAAACTCTTCCATCTTGGTTTTGCTACTTTGAAGCTTAATGAATTTGTATGTTGTGAGTTATTCTCTTTAATCTTCTTCCTTGAATATTAATTCTTCCTTTAAATACTATTTCTATATCAATGTTGGGGAGTGTTACTAAGATGACAATTAGTTAACATCTTGACATTAGTTATAGTAATAATTATTTCTTCCTCTACGTTAATATTGGGGAGTGTTACTAAGATGACAATTAGTTAACATCTTGATATTAACTATAGTAGGATTCATCTTCTTTAATATTCTTTCTTGAGTATTAATTAATTCCTATTCATATTTCATATTAATATTTTTGAACATTACTTAAAGGATCAACTAGTTTTGTTTCATATATTAATTAATACTAGAATCGGTCGATTAATACGCTTGTTATTAATTCGGTCCTTTCATGGTAGTAAACTTGGATTATTAATGCATGCATCTCATGGTTAATAATCTAAGGGGAATTAATTATATTGATTAAACCAATAAACCGCTTGTGTTGAGGTTATCAATCTCAATCGTTTTCATCTTAAGTTTATTGCTACTATCAAGTTAATATACGGCGCTTGTTCTATATTGACTCGATAGTAAGTTTTATTAATGAACGCTTCTCGTTATTAATAACTACCCTCGATGAACTGGATATACTCCTCGATTGAGTATTCGAGAGGAAGATAGTTAAAGATATAACCGGGATCGACGAACATTTCATTAAGTGGATAAAAGCAAAGCCAAGTCTTCTTCTCATTAATTAAACTCATTTAAGTCATTCATCTTAGTGTTAATTAAATCAAATCAAATCTAAAACCCCCCTTTGTTACTATTTAATTAAAAAGAGAAATATTCCTTTCCCTGTGGATACGAACCTTACTTCGCTATACTACGTATTAGTGTCGTATTGATATTTATTTTGAGTGCACCTCACGACAAGTGCACGTCATAAACCGATCCATATTGAAGATGATGGCGATGACGGCGATGACGGCGATGAGGATGATGTTGAAGTACCTTTGACTCAAGTAGATACTTCAACTCCTCAACCGAGTTCTGGGACAGCAACCAAGAGAAAAAATGTTGCTTCACAATTCTTTAATGTTCCACCAAAAATGCCCAAACAAACCAAGTCAATTGCCTCCATCATTCGCAAAACTCCTGAGGAGGTTGTTGATGAAAGACATATGAAAGGCCCCACCCAAACTACACTAGAACAATGCACAAAAAGCAAGGAGGAGAAAGAGAGGGTCTTTGGGCACATATCTGATTTTTTTTATGAAAACGGCATTCCTTTTAATGCGGCAAACTCCAGAAGTTATGAGATCATGGTAGAGTCCATTCGGCAGTTTGGACCAGGACTTAAACCCCCTACCTATCATGAGTTACGAGTACCACTTCTTGAAAAAGCAAAGAAAAATACTGAGAAGCTCAGAGAAAAACATGAACTTACTTGGAAGGAATACGGGTGCACACTCATGTCTGATGAATGGTCTGACCGAAGGAATCGACACTTGATTAATTTCCTTGTCAATAGTCCAGAAGGTACTTTTTTCCTAGACTCGGTTGATGCATCAGGTGAATCTCAAGATGCAACATTGCTGGCAGGTTTGCTTGAGAAAAAAATCGAAGAAATTGGAAAAGACAAGGTAGTGCAAGTGGTGACAGACAACGGCTCTAACTATAAGGCTGCGGGAAAACTTCTAGAGCTTAAGATACCCACACTTTATTGGACTCCATGCCGCACATTGTTTGGATTTGATGTTGGAGGATATCGGTAAATTAGCCGAATTCAAGCCCCACATTGAAAATGCAAGACGTGTGACTACTTTCATTTATCGGCACACGCGAATCCTCCATTCAGTGAGACAAAAGACGGGTGGGAAGGATCTTGTAAGGCCTGGAGTTACTAGATTTGCAACTGCGTTTTTCACTTTTCAATCTCTATATAAGCACAGAGAAGCATTGAGAAATCAATTTAGCGGTCTGGTTTGGGGTAGATCTAAATTGGCTACCACAGAAGCAGGGAAGAAGGTTAGTGAGATTGTGTTGTCTGTTAGATTGTGGAGTTCAGTGGAAGATTGCATACGAGCTTCACAGCCGCTTTTAATTGTCTTGAGGATCGTTGATGCTGATGAGCAACCGGTTATGCCAGAGCTTTCACTAGCCATGGATTGTGCCAAGAAAAAAATCAGCGAGTCATTTGAAAATAAGGCTAGAGTTTTGAGGAGCCTACTTGGGATCATTGAGACACGATGGGAAGTCCAGATGGAGGTCAAATTATACGGGGCAGCTTTGTTTTTAAATCCGTCTAAATATTTTGATCTCAAACAGACTGATCCCACATCAGCATCAAAGAAACGATCAATGTTTAATGATGTGCTTGAAAAGATGGTCACTGATGAAACATTGCAAGCCAAGATAAGTGATCAAGCGACAGATTATGACAAATTGAGAGCAAGTTTTGCAAAGCAGCTCGCGATTAAGCAACAAAAATCTAAGAGTCCTCGTAAGTGATACTTTTTATTATATTTAAAAAGTAGTTTAAATATATTAAAAATTAATTAATATTTTATTTTTGTTTAATTTTTTAGTTGATTGGTGGGATGCTTTTGGTGGACTCGCTGTTGAGCTGCAATCGTTCGCAAAACGCATAGTTGGTCTCTGTTGTACCTCTTCTGGCTGTGAGCGTAATTGGAGCACTTTTGAGTTTGTAAGTAATAGACTTACAATTTTGAATACTAACTACAATTTTTAAATTACACAAGATTTTAACTAATTAAATCAAAACACTTATCAAATATGTTTTTTATCTTTATTTTAGATTCATACAAAAAGAAGAAACATGTTAGAGCATAAGAGGTTGAATGACTTGGTTTTTATTCAACATAATCGGAAGATAGCGACCAGATTTCAGAAGCGGCGTGAAGAAGGAACAAACTTCAACCCTTTAATATATAAAGATTTCCAATGGAACAATGAATAGGTCAGCAATGACGTTGTTCATCCCGGTGATGATCTTCTTTGGAGTCAAGTTGATGAAACTGTGGGTGCATCAAGCAGTCTTCAAGGTCGTAATCTTCCTAGGACTAGTAGCTCTCGTGGAGAATCTGTTTATTATTCTCGACGTCGTGGTTCAAATTCTTCATTAAGGTTGATTGATGAAGACATGAATAATGAAGAAGAAAGTTTTCCAAATGATGATGAAGATGTTGAAGATGACTATGGCCAAACACCACCCACTCCTACTAATGATGATGATCAGTGCAATCAAGGCCGTAGAGATGATTTAGTCCTTGATGATTTTTGAGAACTTAGTAGTTTGATCTTTACGCTGTTTATTTGAGATATACATTTTTAATCTTAATTCTCATTAGATAAACCTTGTTTTTAATTATTAATTGTGGGTTTCAATTCTAAGTTATATACATTTAGTTAGTAATATATTATACATAATATATAATTAAATATATAATTATATATGTAAATATATAATTATATATATAATATATAATATAATATACACATATAGGCGACTAGTCGCCTAATTGTCGCCTAGGCGGGCGCCTTATCGCCTAGGCGATATGGCGGTCATCTGGCGCCGCGACTTGACTTACCGCCGTGACAAGCATGATTGAGTGGTACTATATGTTTGGCCGCGTACTCTACTATTAGAAGGATTTAACTTCCGTTTTATTTCCATGTGTACCTACCATCCAACGATCTCCCTTTCCAACCTAGCCCTCTCTTCTAATTATATACCCTTGAATTCACCGTCTGTTCTCTGTCGTTTCCAATCTTGCTATCACATAGTTGCTCCTGTCCGCACCCCGGAACCTCAACCGACAGCTCCCACGGTTTTCGTGTAATCGTGTTGTGCCGGTAACTATCCAGGTAACTGTTTGAATTGAGATGTATATGGTCCAGTAGGTCCATAAAACTCCCTGGAATAAGCGGTACTGTTGAATCAAACGAAACAACAAGCGATGAAACCAAATACAGATAAAGCCCCTAAGATATATACTTTATTTTCTAAGATGTAATGTTGGTTTTCATCTTTGGTTTTGTACGAGTAATCTGGTAATCTCCCTGTTATTGGGACTTTTGATTCATTAATGGTGAGGTTTTTATCTATGTATTCCTATAAAAATATGCTCAAATGTGCCCACCTCGTTTTCTTCACCCCAAGTCTATGAGTTGTGCTTATAACCTTAGTGTGGTAGGAGAGCTCCAATTAGTGCTTGTCAAATGCTAGGTGAAGTGAGCAGGTTCTGAAATTTCTAGGATTTTAGGCTCTGTTTGTTTCTAGAAAAACATGTCTGTGGAATGTGTGTGCTGATTATACTCTATTTGACATCGAAAAGCAATTCCCTTGAATCCTTAATTTGTGCTTTGTTGAAATGAATTCCCATCTTGAAAATGGGAAGTCGTTTTTGTGAAACAATTTTTATGTTTTGTAATTTTGGGGTTTTCAGGAAAACATGTTCCTTAAAAACTATCATCCTGGAAGCAAAAAATGCCTTTATATTGTTTTAAGCTATATATGTTATGTGTTAAACTGTTCTAAAAGAAAGTTCAAGGCTATATTTGATCTTTGACATATAGCCCAAGGGCATATATGTTCATTCTCTCTGTGGGTTAATAATTCAATGTTGGATTGTTGGCAAAGGGAATATTGTAAAGTAATTCCTCATTTAAGAGGAGTACCAAACAAGAATCTAGCTGAAGTGTGTGCTTTAAAAGAGAAAAGAGAAAAGGTGCCAATAGGCCCATGTACTAACCAAAAAAGGTCAAATAAGCCCTTATTTAGGAGGCTCTGTCCGGCCATCGCCATTTGGGGTGGTTACCGGTGGAATTTTTTGATGAAATTTTTGAGCATCTTATTCATTAAGTCTAGTTTACTCATACCAAATTTCAGCTAAAACTTCAATCGGGAAGACATTCAAATGAATTCAAGCGCAGTTATTTTCAAGAATTCATTTGAATGCCTTCCCGATTGAAGTTTTAGCTGAAATTTGGTATGAGTAAACTAGACTTAATGAATAAGATGCTCAAAAACTTTCATCAAAAAATTCCACCGGTAACCACCCCAAATGGCGACGGCCGGACAGAGCCTCCTAAATAAGGGCTTATTTGACCTTTTTTTATTAGTACATGGGTCTATTTGCACCTTTTCCCAAAAGAAAATAACACACTCCCAGCATGTTTAGGATTAAGGAAAATATGTATGGCTTCTCCTTTGAGAAATGTGGTGCAGATCATTTGTTGTCCTCATTTAGGTTACCAAATGAGCTCCTCCATGAGCAAACCACGAGGATAGATCCTCGCCTGTGAAGGCTCCAGTTTCCACTATGAGCATTCCAAACGAGCTCCTCCATGAATTTTTTTTCATATGCTAATTTAATGGAAATTCTACCATTTTGGACTGTTTATTTTCATTACAATATTTAATTTTATCAGGCAATCTATTACACAGTACCTCTGTGACACCCCGAAAAATTAAAATAAAATAAATAATTTTATTAGTTAGCAAAATATTACGAAAGTGATTTTTTTTATAATCAAGTGAATCAGATAAAATCTTAACATTGGTGACATTTTAATCAGATAAAAATGTTTCAATAATAAAAGTGACATTTTTATAATAATATTGTTGACCGGAAAAGACTTTGACATAAATAATAAAAGTGATATCTGAATTTGAAGATAGGAGTTAATAAAATAAAAATACCATACAAGAATACAATGTTAGTTGGCTTCTAAAAACTAATAATAATGCATATTATAACAATAATATGGCTATAATAGCAAGGATATACGAAACACATATCATCATCGTAATAATAATAACCAAGTAATAACCAAGTAAGTAATACTCCGTATCAATAATATACACATAGTAGCCATATGCCTTGCACACTCAATCACATATGCTGGTCGGAGATGTCAACCAATATGGCCAAAAATAAGATAAAATAAAATACATCATACATTAATGCATATCTTTACAAATCATGTACACCCACATGAGATGTCATAAAACACTACATTCTTCCCTAGCTCTATAACTTATGTATCCAGACCAATATATATGAAGTAATTACACTAAATGGGACTAAAACATGGTTAAAACTCCAAAATAGGACTTGAAGTTTTAAATTGCTTAAATAAGACTCCAGATTACATTTTTACCCCCAATCCCTAAATCACTTTTCCCCCAATTCGTCTTCATCGATCGTGAGACATGCGATTCTTGCAACTCAGCTGCCATGGACTAAACTCAGCCGCCATGGATCACAACTCGCAGCTGCTTTCTCGACGCCGGCTGCACCTCTTCAATGATTCTTGCAGCGCCGCAGCTCCGCCATCGACGAGCTCTGCTGCAATTGTTCCAGTCAAGTCAGGTATGTACTCTTCTTCTTCTTCTTCTTCTTCTTCTTCTTCTTCTTCTTCTTCTTCTTCTCCTTCTTCCTCTTTTTTTCTTCTTCTTCTTCTTCTTCTTCTGATCTTCTTCTCCTTCTTCTCAACCTCTTCAATCTTCTGCTACTCTGTTATCTTGTTCTTTAATTTGGACTTCAGATTTTTTAATAAAGCAGGAATCTTAGAATGCCATAAAATTATCAGTTTTAACTCGAAGACTGTCAAATCTATGGCATTTCATCTATGAAGATGGACAGTTTTACTTTGAAATTAAAAAACTTTAGAAAATGCCATAATTGATGTTTAATCCAACACTGGTTTGTAACAATGTCAAGTTTATGTCATTACATTTGCTAAAGTGATAGTTCAAAGAAGAAAATGACATTTCCAAAGAGTAATAATGTCATTCACATGACATTTTCGAAACAGAAATGATATATTTATAGTGTCAGTTTTTTAATAATAGTGGCAGTTTCATAACATACTGTCATCTTGATAATTGTAATGTCATAAAATTGACATTTTCTGTTTGCTTAAGGCATTTTGAGGTTCCAAATTAATAAAAATTAATAAATAAATAAATAAATAATTGAAATCTAAAGAAAAAGAAAATATAGGACCCAAATAAAATTCAAATCCAAAAAAACAAAGAAGAAGAGAACATAGGACCAGAAATTTGAAGAGGATTAGAAGAAGAAGAGGAGGAGGAGGAGGAGGAGGAAGAAGAAGAAGTCCTACCTGATCGTCGATGAGTGCAGGGCGATTGGAGCAGCAATAATCCACGGGAGGCAGAGGTCTTCTGTGAATCTGCGATGAATTGCAGAGCTGGCGGCATGCGATGCAGGGACTTTTTTAATTAAGGGCAATTTAGTCAGATAACCTCTTTTTAGTCCTATTTTTGTCAAATAAAACATAGTGGTCTTATTTTTACAATTTCATCATGTTTTAGTCTTATTTAGGTAAATCTCTCATATATATGTATGTATGGAGTCTTCCCAGTAAAACCAAACGGATAAGGTCAAAGCCAATGGGATACATTCGATGTCAAACCTATAACCCTCTATTTATCAGTATAAATACCGGCCCCGACCTACACTTTCATCTACACCAAAGCTGAGCTTAACACCCGTGCGCGCGCGCGCGCACACATATATATATAAACATGTATATATACACATATATATATACACACACATATATATACACACACATGGTAGCCGTGCATATACCCGTGCATATATATATATACACACACACATATCAGTCTATATATACTATTACGATAGTGTGAAAGAATATATTAGGAGATATATTATTAATATTATAATATGTTATTTTAGGTATCTAACTTATTATCTTTCCATTTTAGACTAGTCAACTCTTACATATACACGTTTGTAGCTCTTCGGAAATAGAAGAACAATAATAATACTACTTCGTTTATACCTTTGCCGTCTATCATGGTATCAGAGATGGTTAAGACTCATCTGTGAAGGAAGATTTCAGCCGCACTGTCATTCTTGGTGATGGCAGTAGGAGACGGCGGAGATCATTTTTCAGCATCGTCATTGTAATAACGTATAGTAGAGGACACTTTTGTAATTTTTCTATTATTGATTTATTATATATACACGTGAAGGCACCCTAAGAGGGTATGCCATTATTTCCCAATTATTATTTTCATATGGTATCAGATGCCTAGGTTTGCCTTTCTCCTTTCGTTACCCTAGCCGCACGTAGCCTTCTCTGCGCCTCCATCATGGCGTCTTCTTCCAGTATAGCAGAAGCAGCCTCCGACGTGCCTGCTACATCTTCGGCTTCCAACATGACAACCATGGCGCCCATCTCATCTCCGGTGCAGCCTTCATTAACTCCGGTCTCTTCTCCAGCGTCTTCTTCAATTTCTCGTCAGCATGGCTTTAACGGTCCCCCACCGTTGGGATCGTATCGTCTGTTTAATATGCCAGAACCGTTCAGTTGGAATCCCA